TCCGCCCTTCTTCCACTGTCCCTCTTCACCTCTACCCCTCTATCGAGTGAGCTCTTTGGGTGACGAAGTTTGGGAAATGATGACTAGGTGATCAGCTTGTCTGCTAACTCGCGCATTCGTTGCCTAGATCCAGTCGACCGGGTCTAGTGACCAAGTGCATTTTTTTAATCTCAGGATGCTGTGCGTTTGTGGTGGGGAGAGGAGGGAGTGCGACCAGATGGGCCTTTTTTACAACCAAGCCACGTTTTAGTTACAATTGGAAGTCAGTGCTTAGCTTGCCTATGGGGGACGTTGTTGGAAGTTGGTTTCCACCTATTCTCTGTTTTAAATATTGCTCTTTGGTGGTATTTTACTTTTAGGGTTATTAAGACCAATCGGCAGACCTAAATTAACCTTCTTTTTAACAAACACCTTGTGAACTCAAATGCGAATTTGTGCACATAGAGCTGCAACAATTCAACCGATTTTGATGCTATTTGAAGTCATTATTCGAGGGCAAAAACATAAAATAAAAGGAATGGCAGATGTTATATCTACTGTTGTTGAGATCAAGGTGCTCAAGTTGCCAAGTGGATTATGAGTAGGTGATTTATTTGTACCCCAGATGATGCACTGGCAATACTGTATAACGATTCCTCGGTGCTGGAGAACTATCACTTGGCAGTGGCCTTCAATTTGCTCACCTTTCCCGGTTGCGATATCCTTGTGAATGTCACCCGAAAGCAGCGCCTCACCTTCCGGCGCATGGTCATCGATATGGTGAGTTGTTACTAATGCAACACTTAGTTTTCGTTTAGCTCGATTGTGTTTGGTCTAAAGCATAATTGTTATGCACATGCAATTGCAACCCATGAAGCTTTACTGGATTATTATCTTCACTTTAAGCTACTGAATTAGCTTTGTTAGTAGCACGAATCCCATCAGGTTTGCTGCTGACGCTGCCATTGAAGTAGAATACATGTATATCTGACTCTATGTATGGTTTTCCAAAGGCAACACAAAGTCTTTAGGAAAGGACGACTCGGTGATTTTCCTTGTTCAGAGCTGATAGTTTGCCAGCAGAAGCAGCGCCGATTCCAGTTTGACATGGTGAAACCAATTAAAATAGATGCATTCGTATCATGATTCTCAATTGAGCTCTTCTTAGAGATGTGTGTCTTTGAGAACTATTGGGCTTCAGGTTCATTCAGGAGGCCATTGAGCTGTCATTATTTAATTACTCTATAGTTTCTATTCTGCAAGCAATGCTGAACTCTTGTCGGAGTTAGAGGCTTCACTCTCACCATATTGTGAGTGAACAGCTCTGCCAATGTTATTTATCCGAAATCAATGTAAGGTACTATTTATTACAACTTTAACTTTACCGTCATTCAAAACATTCATCTTAAAAAGGAGTATCTTGTGGTAATCACAAAGATACTGAATCCACTCTTGAGGGATGCTTAAATCGGGTAATCATAGGTAGGATCTTCTCTAGATTTTAGGCTGTTGTGATCAAGATCGATTTAAACCCTAGAGGTCCAACAAATCCTTTGATTTCTTGGGTTTAAACATTGAAATTGGAACAATTTTGTACATTCTATGTTGGTCCACTACTAAAGTCAAATTGAAGTATTGCTGGTGTAGACATATTAGGTTCTTGGACCACTCAGAACTTTCCATTGCAATTGTCCCTTGAAGTACTCGATTTGGTAGTTCACAACTTAATCATCGACCATTCCTTTTACTAATGAAGAATCATGTTTAAAGACAGAGTTAACAAGGCTACAAAATATTGTCTACTGAAGTACATTTAAGTAGGACATATCTTTTTATGTTTACTTATGCTTTTACTAGGTTCTTTCAACGGATATGTCGAAGCACATGTCCCTTCTTGCCGACCTCAAAACCATGGTGGAGACCAAGAAGGTGTCCGGTTCAGGTATCCTCAACCTTGACAACTATACGGACCGCATGCAGGTAGGCGGTTGTTTGTGTGGAACTGTGCCGGTCTGTCTTAGGTGCGACCTTAGTGTGTCGCGTTGTGGCAGTGGCATCAAGCCATGCACAATGCACTCGTATTCCGTAAGGCGGGTCCCGAAAATCATACTTTTTTCTCATGTTTAGCTCCGTGAAAATGATCAAGGTGTTCGATCATATTGAAAATATCATCTGAATGGCTATCTTGGTGCCTTACTTAAAAAACTCGAATTCGCATAACTTGATATTCATTTGTTGTTTGACACTGACTCGAAATGCTACCTTGTGCTTTGTTGTGCGCAATCAATGGCTGATTTGGTGTCTTTCGTAGATTCCAAAAGTTACTGCAAGTGGGCCCAAATCACTGCA